GGGAGGGTGGGGGAGGCTTTCACATCCTCAAACCCCAGGGAAACATCTGCCACCGCGACTGCTCCGTCCTCGATCGTTCAGCGGTCGGGTTATACATAATTAATCCCAATCCATTAACACGCCAGCAGGCCCACGCCTCCGCTCCAGGGGTAGCTCCTTTGAAGTAGCCAAGCCCGCGGTGGCGCCGGCTGCACCTAAGGGTGGCCAAAGGTACAGTGAACTTGCTTCATGATTACTGCGGTTGTTCCTAAAATAATAATTTTTTAAAAGGGAGCAAGAAAGTTTCCATTGCAAAACCAAAGGACTGTGCTGATCTAGTCGCTCTTATGAGCATTTACAGCTGTGCTGCGCCGTCTTCATTGCGCTGCTCCAAAAAAAGCAATAGAGAAACTGGCTGGAATCCCAGGACTTTTGCATGCTCCTGTGGCATAAGAGTATTTAATTTGTAGTAGATTAGAGAAAGGATTTTTTGAAAGAATGAAGAAGAGAAAGATTAATTATCTGGGAAGCAAATAAAATCTGGAAGAAAATCTCACTGTATTGGACAATTTGATATGTTGTTAGTGTTCCAGAGAAGAAAACAGCTGTTTACATCAAAGGATCAAAAGACTGCACCACAGGAATCCTGAAGCAGAGTTAAAGGCAGTCATCTAGTAAAGAGGACTAGCTTTGGCATGTGACCAGCTCATCCATGTTATTCCTGAAAGTATGTATAACTTATGAAAATTTGCAGTAGAAATAATTCAGCCTTAGGTGGCAAATTTACTTCCCATGATTGAAAACACATGAATTTTGCCTCTACTAGATGAGTAAGTAACTGGTAGTGCCACTTCAAGTGGCTCTGTGTGCCCACTTGAAGGACTGGTTCACTGCGGTACACATGAGCCATGTTTCACACCAGGAGACATTTCATTGTGAGGTGGTTTCCATCATTACCAAGCAACAAAAAACTCTCTGCTCATTCAGCGTCTATGTTCTTTCTGTACCGTACTTGATACATCTCTTTTCAGGAACAATTTCTCTACTTATACCACTGCCTTGCTCTTTATAGTTTCTATGTACTGATCTTCTAGAGGATGACCTCTAGTTTTACTGCAGTTTGTTGGCTATGACTTCAGAAACTTGGAGAAACAGGAGCAAGTGGAGTCTTTTAAGTTTACTGCCACATAAGGACGATAAAAGAGAATGACCGTGGCTTCCCATGGAGCTCAAAGGCAGGCGAGTGCCTTTAAAAAGACCACCTTGTCACTTGAACCAGTTCACAAGGTGAATTGCCAACAGTATCGAAGTATGTTAAAGACGATGCGCATGCCTCTTGTGCAAGGTCCTAAGAACAGACATGATTTTGCCAGCTTTGAAGACAGAAACAGTAATTCTTTCCTTAAATTCAATCCATTCACCCCTCCAGAACGGCTGAATTACCCTTTGTTCCCACACCGGGATGACATGGCTTTACAGGATCCCTGCTCGGGTTTTGTGAGTGCAGGAGCTAGATGTTGAACTGCAGCCCAATGTTGGAAGAGCTGTTGAATCTCTGGTGGACTACAGTGACATGAAACCTCACCAGCGGGTCCCCATCGCAGAGAAGAGAGGCCAGGCTGCCCACAGGAGGCACATGATCCTCTAGAAGGAAACCAGCCAGAACAGAAGGTGGAACTCCAGAGCTGTGTCTGCTGCTTCCCTCAGGGCACGACTCAGAGGTAAAGCAAACTACTGTTTTTATTTCTTAATCACAAAAAAATGGTGATGCTTAACAAATAAATACAATTAGTTTCTGAACTCTATTCCCCAAGATCCTGAAAGAACAATCTTATAAGATATATTTGCCCTGCATATTTGAGCTGAATGTAACAACTGCAGTAGAGTGCTTGTATCATTCATTGTCACTGCTGTAACAAAGAGGAACCAGTCAGCAAATTCTGATAAGCATTCAAATGCTAAAAAAAAAATAAAATCTTTAGAGGTTTTAAAAAATCTATTTCGGTAAATTGTGAAGTTATATGCAATAATCCTAATGAGCACCTGTCTTAATGTAAACCAAAATAACAGATCACTCCAGAGTTGGGAAATCCCCTGGATATTTTTGTGGCTTTTGGTATTTCCTGACATGTTGCAGTGCAGCACATTTAAAGACCTATCCCAGTGTCTAGCTGATCAGAAAACAGAAGTTTTTCAGGACTGCCATCACATGTTGATCAAAGCATATATTACCCTCTTATTTTATAGTCATGTGTAACAAAGATGGGTCTGATCATTTGGTATTGATTACAGCATCAAAATGGAAATTCACTCTTTTTAACAAAGCAAAATTGGGTTGGTGGTTAATATTCAGAATTTTCTGATGAAAATTCTGGAAAGCAGAAATATTTATTCAGGGGCTTCTAAAGGTAGACATAATTAGCAGTAAGCAATATGGTTAAATTATTATAGATTAAGCCATTGCCAGTGATTTTTGTCAAGAAATGCTTATTACAGCTAGAACAAAATTTTATGAGAACTCCAGCAACTTGGTCATAAATGGAGGGAGACATTTCTTAGAACATGGTAAAGAAATGTAAATAATCTTGTTCCATTTTGCTATACAGAGATAACACTTCGCAGTTAGCTATACCTTAACCATGTTATTGCCGCCATAAAGTCTCCATGTGCTATAAATTCAGGCAGTATTTTTTTGTTCCTTGTTTTTGTCTTCAAACTTTGTATCTTAAAGCACTTTAAGCTTACTGCAGTCATATAACAGAACCCAAAAGGACCCAAGAAACCACAAGGGATGAAAAAATTGACTCCATAATTTTCCTTTTTTTCTTGCTCATTCAATGTAATCTTCACTTTTATTTCTCAGTTTCTGTGTTCTTCATTTACATATTAAATTAGACCTCAGACACCAATGAGAACTGATCAGCTGGTTTTTTTTCTGCAAGCCTCCGGAAAAGAGAAAGGGAAAAAAGATTTGAGAGACACAGTTCTGTCTAACCATTAAATTTTCCAATGCAGAGGAAAGTATGCACAGCTAGAGATACTCTGACAGACAGAGACACACCTGAAATTAACACAGACAAAATCTGAAACTGAATGTCATCAAGACAGTAACCTGGGTTACAGTCAAGAAAGGGGTCTGAAATGAACAGTAGTTGAAGAAAGTGAAATACTGACTCCACTGAAGCTGTCAGAAAAAGTCAAACTTAAGTCAGGGACAGAACCTTGAAACGGATATAGTCAAGCATAGATTTCTTAAGAAAAGCTATGCGAATGTTCTTCCAAACCTAGTATTCATTTACAAGTTTTCCTGTGGTGCTGAGGCATTAACTACAAACGTGTAACTATAGATATAAAAATTAGTTGAGTTTTAAGCTACTCTTTTAAAATGAGACTGCATAAACAAATTCCAGATTTCAGCTGTATTATTCAGAAAGCCTAGCTACCAACCCCCAGGCGCGTGATGTGATAAAAGTTGCTAATCCTTCTAGATACCAGTCCCGAGACATTCCACAGCTAAGTTGCTTGGGGAAGCTGTGATGAAAGAGAGATCAGTCAGGCATTTTGCAAGCAAATTCTACAGTCACTTTCTCCACTGTGGTGGGGATGAACGGAAAAAAAAACAGAGACAGAAGCCTTTGAGACGGATGCTCTGAAGTATATAAAACATCTGCAATAGGCAGGAGGTTCTCTGCTGTGTGAAGATGTAGTGCTGTGGCTTTGGCAGTCAACAGTGTTACTTTGAACTTCCTCAGCTGCCTTTTGCATCTACTGAGCAAAGCAAGTTTATTGAGCAGTGAGGCTCTGTGATAGCAAAGCAAAGATGAGAAGCTGACAAAAAAGGTCATTTTGAGACTGGAGAATCAGAGCTTGCCAGAGAAGGCAGGCAGCTGAAGAGGTATTCTTCATGTGTTCTCGGTTGGTATATGGAAGGAGCTTAGTGGTAGAAGACAGCGTCTTTAGGAAGTTGACAGTGTTTGCCTGTAGAGTCCCCTTCTCTCACTCATGACAACAGAATTTTGTAGCCTTTTTCCTGTGGTCTCAAGTTTCTTTGCAGTGTTTAGGAGTACCTCAGAATTTGACTGTGCAGGCATATTTGTACCTGGAAACCTAGTGACGAATCCCTTATATCCAGTTTATAATTATTACTCTGTTTTGTATGGCGTCACACTGACATGGGCATGAGGACTGCAGAAGGGTATTTGATAAGTCTGATAAGGAGCAGAGATGACTTCTTGCCCCTGCTGAAAGCTGACACATCTGTAGATACAGTTTTCTTCAAAATCTGGGAAATGGGAAACACTACAGAGTTTACTTATAGACTTGATAGTAACCCTTTTGAATAAAATATAAGTAGTTAACTCATGCTGCTACTGGAGTAGCCATATTTGATTTTGTCCAAAAGCCCAACTAGTCCAGTATTCCATCCAAGACTGTGGATAATTAACAAACAATGTCATCACACTTCCTCTGCATATTTTCCTGTTGTGATGGTTTGTGGACCAGAGATTTGTGACTAGGAGATAGTGTGTTTGTAGTTAGTTGTCATGGACTCATAGATTTGCCTTCATGAATATATCCATTTGCTTTTTGAAACTATCACTTAACTTCCAACCTGTATTTCCAGGTAATTTGTGAATATGTTAAGCAACAAAGTCCTAAGCCCGGATGGGTTTCCTCCAGGTCTCTCTACTGCTGATCTCCATCCACCTGGAAAATGGATCATTCACCCCTTCCCTATGAACTTCTAATCAACTGTTTATTTGTGTGAAGATATTATCTTTATTCCACTGTTACTTGAAGAGGCTCTGTTAAAGAATTTTATGCAGAACTTGTTGAAATAGTTGTGGGCACGTTATACTAATTTCCCAGTGGCCTTTGTATAGGAAGAGTTCCCTTCCCAGTGCTTCCTCTCCTGAAGCAAGAAGCATTTTCTCCAGAGTAATCATTGCTCTGAAGGAGTAATCATCCAAGAGCAGTCCAGGATTAAGCAGCACATTGAGTGTGAGGCATATCAAAGTAGGATTCCAGCCTCTCCTACCTTACAAATAATGACAAAATAACTGTAGGCAATGCTGGTGCAGCCCCAGTTTATAACATAGGTACTTAATGAGATAAAACCTCTTACCTGCCTGCAGAAAGAGAAAGAAGGAAGATTAGTCAGAGGCAACAAAATGTAAAGAAAATGTACAAAATCTGAAAAAGGTGCAACTTGAAAAACATCAAATTAACAATTCAGGAACACCCATAAATAACATGCATAGCTCATAACTATTGTCGCATATAAACAGAGTGAACTAAGAATGCAAAATGGCCTGCAATCGGCTCAAGGTAATTAAATAATTACCCATAACGCAATGAAATGTGTAATAGCATACTGCCTAAAAAGCTGGTAGGTCATCTGGAAATAACACATAGAAACTCAGAATTCTCCTGAGAGGTGAGTGCCATTGAATGAAACAACTGTGGTTTCACTAAGGATTTGATTATTATCATCCCTGCAGTTTTGTCTTCCACTATGCGTTTGTTTTTCGCTTGCCCAATAGCTGAGTGATGCTTTGTTTATTCAACAATTTTGTTCTATCTCTGTAGCTCCTTTTGTCATGCATGTCTTTCCAATAGAAACTGATGGGATTTTATACTTTTTTAGAATTACTTTTCAGGGGAGGAATTGTAGCTTTTGCTTTTAAAGGAGCAGAAAGGAGAGAAGAAGCAGTGTTAATAGGTTGTATTTATTTTTCATATATAAGGAGAAGTAGAATAATTAAAAGAACTAAGCAAAGTAATCTGGAAGAGTTAGCTGTAAACCCTTCAATTGGCATTATTATCTCTTGCTGAGCCCGCTGAAGTCAGTGCTCCTACTAATTTTAAAATATAAGAGGTCAAAAACCGTGCACAGTTTTCGAATGACAGTGAGGTGCGGTGAAGCTTGTAAGAGTGCTGGTTTTGTGAAATCTCTCTGCATATGTCTTTATGTGGTCACATAAGAATCTCACTTTTTCCTTTAAAAATAAAACAAAAATATGTTCTGGCTTTCAAGGTTTCTGGGAAATAGCTTAGAAAGATGAATGAGTACATCTTCAGTTTCTGACGCAGAATCCAAGCCAGAAATTCCCCAGATTCATTATCCATCATTGAATCCTGCTTTGTCAGGTTAGGAGATTAGTTTAAGTACTAAACTTCAACTAGCAGTGTCATTAAGCTTGTCATTAGTTAAAAGGGACAAAGCTGATACACTGAATTCCCAGCTTGGACAGAAACAGATTGTGGACTGAGCAAGTCATTAGGGGCATTGAAACCTCCAGAAAATTGACTTAAAGAAAAAAATTATTGTAGTTTTTACACTAGATCTTTCCACTGAAAGCAAAAGGAGAAGTAAGTGTTAGAAGAGTAATCATCCCAGCAGTAAGCCAGTAGTGTCAAGATGGCAATTTATAACATACAGTGCAAGAGCAGAGGTCTCTAGAAATGTGTGTGTACAATTATCAAAGCAAATGTAAAAGTAAAGAAATGTCCTCCTAAGGATGTTGTAGCTGATATGAGTGCTTTGCACATACAACATAAGGAATAGTAATGGTAACCTTTAGCTCTTTAATCAGTGGACCAGAGGAAGACTTTTTGTGGAACTGCTAGGACATATGGATAGATATATTTGAGCCATCCACCTCTTTACGGTAAAGGGCACTAGTACATGCATACCTATTATGTAATTACAATATTTCAGACATAAAACTTAATGGAAACATTCCCATATGAGTACAAGTCGTGTATTTGCAGGTAGCATTTAAAGTTGACAAAAAGCTGAAGCAATGAAGGTGTAGCCACCATCTTTACTCTAAGCATGTTACCCCTGTAAGAGACATTTTCAAAAATAATTGATTTAAGTGGAGAATGATTCAGTTTGAAAGCACTTCACAGTGCAAAGATCCACAAATTCTGTCAAGCTTTTCAAAAGCAGCAGCTCAAAATTGCACACTATGCAAGAAGCTCTTTTAAAAACCAGATCATATTCTTTAAGTACCTACATCTAGCATTAGGTTACTAAACTTAGTCACTTGGATTTTCTTTTAAACTTTGTCAGAGCAATTAGTTCTGCAAAATCTAATTTTGTATTCTGCACAGTAGTTTTCAACTTTTAGCTTTTGAACTATTTTATCCAAAGTATATGTAAAAATTCTACAACTAACTAGGAAAAGTAACTGTATTATGAATTAGCTTAAATTTGCTTTGTAAAGATCTTCATATACATTGGAAATTTTTGGGCATCTGGAAGTAAAAAAGCAGATTGAAAACTATCTAAGTTGTACATTCTTGATAATAAATAATATTTTTCAGTGTTCATAGAGCAGTGTGATGGATGTATATCTGCCTGCCCCTTTTACTATAGTATAACAAAGTTTATTTAGAAATACACCTTTCCCAAAGTCACCAAAAGCATTATGTTAATGAATGGCACAGCAGTTTAAATGATACTCTCATGAATATCCCTTACCTTATTTATATGATTATTTTGTTGGATTTATCCTGATGACCTAAGGAGCCAAGTTGTTTATGTTCATCTTGTTTATTTATCTATTGGTTCTCCCCTAATAACTTTTAATGCCTTTGGCCAATTTCTGCCAAATTTGATGGAGATATAAACATCTCAAGGATAACTGCATCCCTGCAAGATTTTTGAAGGCTGAAGTCTAGGGAGAGGAAAGATAAATGAGTGTTCCTCTTGAGGGAGCCCAGACTCGGGCACTAGAACATCTTTCTGTTCGGCAGCAGCTCAGTGGTCAGCAGCTCATGTGCACTGGCTCAGGAGTCAGCATATATGTGACTCTGCTGCAACTGCACAATGTGGCCTCTTGGTGGGTAAGCGTGATTTACAGGAGCTGCTCAAGGAGAGCTCAAATTATTGGAATATGCAGTTGGGAGGGTGAAGGAGAGAGAGAAGTAGCTTTAGGAAATCAGCCACCTGCTGCTTATGGAATAGCTTTTTTATTACTGTTAGGCCTGGCAAAGTTTATGTAGCTGTAGAAATGCAATATGCAACTACTAGTTTGGGTGGTATTAACAAGCTTTTATTATTATGTTTGCTAATTTTGAGACTTTATTCAGATAGAACTGTCCATGACAATATGTGAAGTAGGCCAAACTAGAACAATATGTGTTGTGATATTATTTGTCACTTTTACTTTCATCTTCCATGTAATTTAATGTATTTTTCTGAAAGTTTGTAATTCAGAGAGGTATTAAGTAGCTGAACATTGGTACTGGACTGCTGCAAACTGATTAACACAAAAAGAACTCCTTACTTTCAGGCTTGGGAACTCCAATGAAAAGTGCTCCTGTTCTACCTGACCAGAACCATAATTATGCATTTTATATGGATCCCAAGCTACAGGCAAGTAACTTATGATATTCTTGTAATAACAAAAAGCCCATTCTTTAATCACTTTGTTTCTAGTATGCTTCCGTTGAACATAATTTTGGAAATGATTGAACAGAGGTCCTCAGCACCATGGGTGACAGAAATGAGGAAGGTTTTGAGGGAGCAACGTTGTAACAGTACCATGCTTCCCTTGGCATACCTTTTGCAACCCAAGTGTCCCTGGGGCGGTAGGCTTTGTGTTTCTCTGAACCCTAACCCTAAAGCAAATGGGAGCTCTGGGATGAGGTTTCTATCTCAAGCACCATGGGTGGCCCGGATGAGAAAGATGTGGAGGGAGCCAGGTAGTTGTAGTGCTGTGCTCCCATTAGAATGACTTTTTCAGCCTCAGTATCACTAGAGCCAAAGGCTTTTTAGTTCTCTAAACCCAAACCCTAATCCAAGTGAGAATTCGGGGCTAAGGCTGACATTGCCAGCACATGGTTAGCACAGATGAGAAAGTTTTGGAGGGAGCCATGATGGTTCAGAGCCAAGCTCGCATGGCATGGCTTTTACAGTCCCAGTGGCCCTTGGGCTGTAGGCTTTGTGGTTCTCTGAACCCTAACCCTTATTCTAATTCTGAAATGAGCCTGACACCAAAGTTCAGGTACCTATCACCGTGAGTGGCTTAGATGAGAAAAGTGTGGAAGGAGCAAAGATGCTGCTGTGCTTCCTTTAGAATGTCTTTTGCAGTCTCAATGTCACTGGGGAGATAATCTTTTTCATCCTCTAAACATTAACCCTTATCCTAGTTGGAGCTTGAGGCTGAAGCCTCTGACTCAAGCACCATTGGTGACCAAGATAACAAAAGGTGAGGAGGGTGCCATATTTGCACAGTACTGTACTTCCCTTGGCATGCGTTTTAGAGCCCCAGTGTCCCTGGGGCTAAAGCTTTGTTGTTCCCTTAGCCCTAACTCTAATTCTGAAAGAAGATTGAGGCCGAAGCTGAGCTGCCCAGCACCATGGGTTGCTTAGATGAGAAAGGTATGAACGTATCAAAGTTGTTGCAGAGCAGTGCTTGCCTTGACATGCCATTTGCAGCACCAGGTTCCCTAGGCCTACAGGTGTTGTGGTTCTCTAAACCCTAACACTAATGGGATTTTGGGCCCAGACTTAGTGCTTAAGCAGCATAGGTGACTCAGATGAGAAAGGTGTGATGGTAGCCATGTTAATGTACTGCAATGCTCCCCTTGGCATGCCTCTTGCTGCCCCAGTGTCCCTAGAGCTGTAGACTTTGTGGTTCTCTAAACCCTAACCTTAACCGTAATGTTAGTCTGAACCTGGGGCAGATGCTGAGGTCCTCAGCACTATAGGTTTCCTAGTTAAGAAAGGTTTGGAGGGAGTAATTTTTGTATGGTACAGTGCTTCCCTTAGCATTTGTTTTGCAGCCCTATTGTCCCTGCGCAGGTATAGTTTTTGTTTCTCTTAGCCTTAACACTAAGCCAAACCCTACTGGGAGCTCTGTTCCGAGCTTTTTCTGAAGCCTTATTGGTGGCCCGGATTAGAAAGGTGTTGCGTGAGCCATGTTTTTGCAGTGCCATGCTCTTCTTGGCTTGCCTTTTGCAGCCTCAGTGTTAGTGGACCTGTGAACTTTGTTGTTATCTAAACTCTATCCTTAACCCTAAACCTAACCTTGAAGGGAATGAGTAGTGAAATCAGACCTTTTAATTTCTTCCCTTAAGTCTATTGAAATAGGGGCTACTACTTCTTGTTAGTATGACTAAATTTAATGGTGGTTATCACTCCAATATTTTTTTTCTACTGTTACTCTGATTAATGCATTTAGAATGTAATGTGAGTCTGATACTACCAATATCAGTTATGTGTAACTGAGACAATGTTAGAGCAAAAATACCATAATGTACAAAATATACCAAAACTTCATACTTTATATAAATATTCATATATTTACTACTGAGGCACTGCCTTATTTGGTGAAAGTCACAAAATATATGTAAATCAAAATACATCAATGATTCTATAATGCAAGTCTAATTCAGTCTTTCCCAAACTGAAAATGGAAAGGCCTCCTTTATCTTTTTAAAACTGATGAGGCTATTCATAAAGTGTTGAACCTAATGAAATAGTTGGAATGGAATGGAATGGAATGGAATGGAATGGAATGGAATGGAATGGAATGGAATGGAATGGAATGGAAGGGAAGTAGACTGTTTTTTGTTGGAAGGGATCATTGAGTCCACCTGCTTGACCAATTCAGGCCTGACCAAAAGCTGAAGCATGTTGTTAAGGGCACTGTCCAAATGCCTCTTTAACATCTTTATCAGCCTTCTTAAATGGTGGCACCCAGAACTGCACAAATTACTCAAGGCGAGACTGCACCAATGCTGAATACAGTGGGATAATCACCCTCTTTGACCGGCTGGTTATGCTGTGTTTAAGGCACCCCAGGGTGCGGTTTGCCCTCTTGGTTGCTGGGGCACACTACAGACTCCTACTGAGGCTGCTGTTGGCCAGCACCTTCAGATCCCTTTCTGCAGGGCTGCTCTCCACTCCTCTTACAGTTTATACTCATGCCTGGGATTACTCTATCCCAGGTGCAGAATATGGCATTTAGACTTTTTAAATTTCACCCCATTAATCATTGCTTAATGCTCCAATCTATTTAGTTTCATCTGCAAGGCCTGTTGTCCCTCAGGAGAGTCAACAGCACCTCCCAGTTAGTTATCATCTGCAAACTCGCTAAAAAAATCTAAACTTGCTCTTGGGTGGAGAACTGGCTGGATAGTCGGGTGCAGAGGG